GCCCCAGCCCGCCTCATGACTCCGCGTCTTCTCCCTTCCCTCCCTCCTTTCGACTCCCCGCCTTCTCGCCTCCGCCCTCCCCGCCTTCCGACGCCCTACTTCCCGCCTCCTCGCTCTGCCTTCACCGCATCCTCGCTTCCGCACCGCTCACCTCCCCACCTCCCGCCTCTTGAAGCCCCGCCTCCTGCCTCCTAGTCCCCCGCCTTCTCATTCCCGCCTCCCAGCTTCTGGTCTCCCTGACTCCTGGCTCCTGAGACCCCGCCGAATCTGTTCATCCCCTGCTGGGCCTGTGACAATGAGAAGCCTTACTTGGGGCCCTTCCACATCTTTTGTAAGTTGGAGAAAGACCTGGCCTCCCTTTATCCCGGCCAACGTGGATCCTTGGTTCCAGGGACAACCTCTCGACCATGCAGGGACACTCAGACGCTGGTGCCATCCGGATCTAAGCTTTCATCAGTTGTCTCCTGTACCATACATAGCTACAGCTCCATTCCTCTATAACGTACTCCCCACACAGCAGCGAGATCATGCCCCTCGCTTGCCTAGAACCATTTCACAGCGTCCTGTTGACCTTGGAATGAAATACAAAAGTCTTCATTGTAAGGCCCTGCTTGGCGGCTGACAGCTGCCTCCCCTTCAACTTCACTTTCTACTGCTTTCCCCTTCATTCATTACACTTGCAAATACCTGGACTTTCCATTTGTTTTTCAAAAGTGTCATGTTCATTTCTACCGCAAGTTCTTTGCTCTTGCTCATCCCTTTGCCTGAAACACCCTTCTGGTTCGTCTTGTCATTCTGTTGGCCACCTCTTCAAAGAGAACTCTGGATTACTCTTTCTGAAGTGCCTGCCTTCAAGTATCTCTATTACAAACCAGCCTGTTTTAGTTCCTTCATGGCATTTCTCTCTCTGGTATTAGCCAGATTATTTTTTGAGGCAGGATAGTATATTGGTTTAGACCAGGGGTCTATCAGATTTTTCTGTAAAGGGCCAGATAGGGAACATTTTAGACTTTGTGGGCTATATAGTCTTCAGCAACTACTCTGTTATTGTAGCAGGAAAGCAGCCATGTTGTTGTTAGGTGCCATCGAGTCGGTTCCCACTCACAGTGACCCTATGTACAACAGAACAAAATACTGCCTGGTCCTGCACCATCCTCACAATCGTTGTTATGCTTGAGCACGTCGTTGCAGCCACTGTGTCAATCCATCTCATTGAGAGTCTTCCTCTCTTTGACTGACCCTTTACTTTACCAAGCATGAAGTCCTTCTCCAGGGACTGATCCCTCCTGATAACATGTCCAAGGTAAAGCAGCCATACACAATACATAAATGAACGAGCATGACTGCGTTCCAATAAAACCTTATGGACACTAAATTAGAATTTCATAATTTTCATGTGTCATAAAATATTATTCTTCTTTTGATTTTTTTCAACCATTTCAAAATGTGAAAACTATTCTTAGGTTGCAGGCCATGCAAAAGCTGGCCACAGGTCGGCTGTAGTTTGCTGACCCCTGGTTCAGAACGCAGATGATGGACCCATATTGTCTGGGTTTGTAATCCTGGCTTGTTATTTTCTAGCTGTGAACAAATTACTTAACCTCTGTGCCTCAGTTTTCTGAACTCTACAATGGGAACGCTACTAAACCTACTTCATAGTGCTGTTGTTGTGAGGACTAAATATGTTTATATAAAGAACTTAGAAATTTAGAACAGTGTCTGGCACAGACTAGGCACAATACAAGTGTTTGCTATTATTATGTGTGTGTTTATCATCTGTCTCTCCCAGTAACCCATATGCTGCAAGACAGCAGAAATCTTGCATAAAACTATGCCTAGCTCAATAAAATTTGTTAAATAAATGAGCACACACAGATCCCCTATGGGGACGACAGGGTAGGAAGGGCTCCTGCGTGGGGTGCCTGGAGGGGCAGGGCCCTGAGGAGTGGGGAGAGGAGATTCAGTGGAGGAGGCAGGAAAAACAAAACAACCAGTCTGGAGATGGAGCACCTGCTCAGCCAAGAATGATGCCCATACCAAACAGCACTGTTACCTGCCTTAACAGCACCATTCCTCAACATCACAGCCCCCAGAAAGCTTGAAGTTTGCAAGGAGTAGGAGGCTGAAAAGACAGCAGAGGGGATGGAGGTTAAGCATAAGGAACAGCATTCAAGGTCAGTGACTCCAATGACTACCAGAGACCCTCTTCTTACCCTTCCCACCCTCTCCAGGCCCCAGCCAAATAATGACAGAGCCCAGGCCTGATGTGCCTTTATTTCTTCAGTTATGCTTGCGGCTGGAGTGGGGGCGAGGAAAGAGCCCATGGCCTGGGCTCCCTGGGGACCAGGGCTGATGATACCAGCTGCCATAAGTGAGGTACCAGGCGAAGGTGCCTACTGCGGCACCCACCACCTTGTGAGTATACTGGTGAAAGTAGATGACGGTACAGAGCAGCAAGAAGTTCCAGAGGCCCAGCAGCAGCACGTTGAGCAGGAAGACAAGGCGCAGCGGGGTGCCGGCAGGCAGCCCATGGGCCAGGTACTTGGCAAACACTGCCGCTTCCTCGGCCATGAGCAGGCAGCAGAAGGTGAGTAGGAAGGTGTGGGAGGAGACAGTGTAGCCCCGCCACTGGTGGCCGGCAGCCAGGCAGCTGTGGCGGTCAGGCAGCTCATGGAGAAGCAGACCCTGGGGCACAGGTTCAAAGCAGGAGCCCGTCAGGTCCTCGATGAGCAGGAAGGCCCTACCAGCCCCCCGCCACACGGCTGCCCCCACTACCAGCCGGCTCAGGTGCCGGGCAGTCACCACCACTCGCCGTGTGGCCAGGAACACCACGAGCAACACAAAGCCCCCAAGGAAGGTGCATGTCCAGCCCCACGCTGAATTCACAAACTTTCTGTGGGTAGAGAAGAGGGGAGGCTATTGAGATGCCCCAGCCCTATCTCCCCAACATGACTGTGTTTACATCTCTGCTCTGTCTCCAGTGGTGTCCCATCATCCCTGGTTCTGTTTCCCATGCACTCCACAATCCCCACCCATTTAAACTTTGTCATCTCCTTCGAGGACCTCTCAGCCTTCTAGGGTCCATATTTCCTCCCCAACCTTGCTCCTGTTGCCCCGCTCCCCTGTACCCTCAGGGCTCTCTTCCCCTCCCCCTCTCCCACCTCCCTTTCAACCTCCTAGCCTATTTTTAGCATCCGTTCTGGCAGGAGGACAGAAGCCTGGAGGGGGGAGCTGGGATCCCAGAGTGCAGGGAGCCAGCTCCCACAGCCTTGAGTTGACTCACATGTTGAAGAAATTGCCGTGGCTGGCGAAGATAGTCCGAGGGTTGACATGGAACTGTAGAAGGGGCCCGAAGATAACCACTGCTGCTAGCCAGGCATGGTAGAGGCGCTGTAAGCAGGGGCTGCCCAGGAGGCGGGCGGCCTGTTCACTTCCAAAGTAAAGCAAGGCAGAGGCCAGCCAGAGTAGCACCTTCAACAAGCAGCCCAGCAGTGCCTGGATTCGGGCCCCAGCGGCCCGTGACCCTGTCCCCCCCACCGGTCCCAAATCCATGTTCCCTCCCCTCCCCACTAACTGCTTGCTCTGCTGAGCAGCTAAGGAGGGGCTGATGGGTCCCCCCCAACCCTGGACAAGGACAGGCAGTGACAGGTGTGGCAGACACAGAGCAGAGCCCTGTTGGCAGCTGGCAGGCGGGGGAGGAGGCGGGGGCAGTAAGGGGCCAGGGCAGAGGGCTGCCACATCAGCAGAGTCTGGGCCTTAAGTGTGTGTCCTGAAAGTGGCCTGCGTCCTTTCCTCTTAGCCCTGTGTCCCCGTGACCCTCTAGGTCTGTGTTCCCTGCTCCAACCATGTTCATGTCTCAGAGCCAGACCTACTGTTCAGGGTGGTCCTTCTCCACAGCCTGCTTGGGTCTGCCTGTCACTGTTTAGTTGGCCAAAGGCTCCTTCTCTCACTCTTTACCATGTGTTCGCTCCACAGGGAAATCAGGGGTCATAAAGAGAAAACTAACCACATCTTGGATGTCATTAAAAAAATCTGCGCCTGCCTCATCATCAGTGTGGTCCTGTCCCCTCTCCTGGGGCTCTGAGCACAAGAGCCCACCATTGCAAAGACTGAGCAGGGCTGTTGTACATGGCGCTGTGTCCAACTTAGGCCTTGGGAGGCACATCAGCAGGGTATCCACTCAAGTCACTGTGACCCCATGGTGTGGTCCAGCCCTAGCTCCTGTCTGGTCTGAAGAGGCTCCCAGGGCTGGTTTGGCCCCAGGGCTGCTGTTGAAACCGTGGTGACTGTGCAGCGCACAAGGCATCACATCTACAGGGGCATCATTCATTTGCGTGTTTATTATGGTCAAGAATGACATTCAAGTGTTCTGAGGAAGGAGTGCTGTGAGATGGTGGTAGCCCAAGTTGGCCTTGAAGAGCCCTAAAGATCAGGTTTACTCCCAAGGGGACAGGGGCAGAGGGAGACCCTAGAAGGAAAACCCCCAGCCTGGAGTCCACTGAAACCTTAGTTCTGTCCTCCAAGCAATTACCCTGGGGCCTCAAGGGGACCCCACATAAGCCTTGGCCTCCGAGCCTGGCCTCTGGGGCTGAAGCAACAGGGTGGAAAGCAACCTATCCAAGGAAGTCCCTGTTATTCAGTAACTGTTTCGAGGTCTCTTTTTGTCTTTCTTCCTCATTCCTCAAAACTGGTGATGGAATTTCAGAGCACAGTAGAGGCCACAAGTAGCAAAAGGCATGAGCAAGCAAGGACACCCTGGTTCTGGGCCCAACCGTGTGACTTTGGGAAGATCAATTAATACTCCTTGGCCCTCAATTTCCTCATCTGTAAATTGATCAAGATGGGTAAAATAAGGTTCCTTCCAGATTCTAAAGCGTAATACTTTATGACCCCGTACCTCAGTGTAGTGGTCTTCAAGCCTTCCTGCTCATGGACCCTTAAGAATTTTGAAGACTTATGAACCCCTCTGCACATTTTTAGGTTAACATAAAATTTTTCATCATAATTTTAAATAGTTGCAAAGGACATAATTTCCAGTGTATTATACATACTGGGGAAACCCTGGTGGCATAGTGGTTAAGAGATACAGCTGCTAACCAAAAGATTAGCAGTTGGAATCCACCAGGCGCTCCTTGGAAACTCTACAGGTTAGTTCTACTCTGTCCTATAGGGTTGCTATGAGTTGGAATCGACTCGACGGCAACGGGGTTTTTTTTTTTTTTTGGTTATACATACTGGCATTTCAAATTAAACTATTATATCACGCTTTTAAATATATCCAATGGAATCTAAACACTCTAGTGACTCAATACCTCACCAGCATCCATTTAAAAAACACATGACAAGATTTTCTTAACAGTTATAAATCATATATCCATTCAACTTCCCCCAAAGAATTGATCCTAATTTTTTTATGCTTGGAAGTTTTTATTAATGACTTTATCATGCTTCTCTGCAAAAAAAAAAAAAAAAAAGATATAATTTGAAATTTGATTTTTAAAAATTTCCTGTGACCATAAGGCCCTAAGAAGTTAAATTTTTTTCTTCTGGATTGAATTCTCATTAGAACTGTTAGTAGGGCAAAAGGTATTGTTAGTACAACAAATGTTCACAAATTTTGGTAATTAAGTAACTGAAATTGCACTGAAAATGCATCTCTTAATGAGAAACATGGGTGGTTTGTGGGGCCTTGATCAAATGAGGCTTTGGGGATACTAATAACTTTAACTTGCCCCTTAGTTTGGTGCCCTAGAGGTAATACAGGTACTGGGTGAGATAGGTGGTGTCTCTCAGGTAAAGTGGCAGGGGGTACTAAAAAAGGGCAGGTGGGAAAGGCAATCTGGCATGACATTTTCACACAGGCAGATCAACATGTGGAAAGAGAACATACAGAGGCTGAGGACCTGGACAATTCATTCTTTTAAAACTACTTATTTTGCATACCACATTTTGTTGAGAAAGTCTTTAAGTACTCCTGGGGGTGTGTACCCCGATTTGAAAATTGCCTTAGAAATAATGAAATGTAGTGGAAAGATCTAGTCAGGGTTGGATGAGAATCCCAGCTCTCCCACTGACCACCAGTTTGCTTTGGGGCATGTCACTGACCTCTCTGCACGTCTCGGTTTCCTCAACTCGTACAAAGCGTGGCTGTGAAGGTGGATAAGGCTGTAGGCGTGAAGTGCTGAGGATAGGGCCTGGTGCCAGTGTCAACCAGGTTTTCTCTGGCTCTGTGTTCATGGGCTGCCTCTTCTGTAGACTGTACCAGCTCCAGAGCACAGCTAATGCGGGCAATTCTGGGCTGTAACTTAAAATGTGCTCAGTCCCCTGCTATCTCTATGTCTACTTGCTGAGAAGTTTCTGAGGTTGATGAGGGAGTTGCCAATTTTTGGTATTTCCCTTCATCTTGGGGTGTCAGGGCACTGTTTTCTCCCATAGAGGAGCATTCCTAAGGCTTTGTTAGAACTGTTTTCTTGACGTGAGAGACTGAAAGAACTTAGATATGAAAAAGAGACAGAGGGAAGACACTGAGGCAGCTTCCCACAGGAAGTTTATTGAGGGAGCCAAAGCCAGTCAGAGGACAAAGGAGTTCTATCTCAGCCTTCCTCCTTGAAGCTGTGGGCCTCCAGCATGATGGGACACTCTGGGTGAGGAGGGCCTGCACTGTGTGGGGCTGCATGGAGCTTTTGGAAGGTCCAGCCCCTCACATCACAGCTTGTCCTACCCCAAAGACCCAGACGTGAGAGAGAAGACATAATTCACACCCCAGGACAGTGCTGAGGAAACACCATTACCCATCCCACCCTCCCCAAAGGACTAGAGCTCTAGCTATCAAGACCTCAGGAACAAAGGCCAGGATGCCCAGCACTCTGATTGGCCAGCCTAATCCTCAACGTGAGGGCTTATACAAAGGGCCTGGCAGGGGTAAAGAGGTATTGACGGTCAGTTCAGACCTGGCCTCAGGCATATTACTCTATTACTCTAGGAGCTAATACCTAATATCCAAACATGATTAAAAAATACTCTGGACAATTCTCCTGGTGGCAGAGGCCACACCCCAGATAATGGCAGTCTTGCCAGACCCTGGCCAGAGATAGAGATCCAAACCAACTGGGCGTTGCATGTGAGAAGAGACCACTCTGCCCCACAAGGAGGATCCTCCAAGGCTCGGCTGGGGCCCAGAAGCCTGGGCTTCTGTCCCGAGTCCAATGCCAGAAATTCCTCCAAACATCCCCCAGACAGGAGAAAGGGAGGAGGAGGAGCCAGTCAAGAGGCTCACCCATGTATGGGGCTGGAGGTCAGATTTACTGGGGAGAGGAAAAGGCTGTAGAAAGATGAGGTGCTGGGGCACTGAGGCATTCCCTGGACTCTGGCATGTCATCCTGGAAGTATTCAGCCTGGTGATACTGCCACAGACGCAGGTTCCCGTCCCACTGTGGGGCAGAAAGTGGCAAGTAGTCAAGGGGATGCTTCCCTACCCCAGGCCCAAGCCCCTGACATGTGCTGGCTTCCCGAGCCCTTGCAACCTCACCGAACTGCTGACAATCTTCTCCTCAAAGGGGTGCCAGCTGACATCACGCACACAGGCTTTGTGGTTGGTCAGCTTCTTCATGATGCGGCCGCTGAGGAGGTCGTACACTGTCCAGGAGAGGCCAGAGTGGAGCAGAGCCGCCAGAGGACCTTCAAGCCACCTTCCTCTCTCCCTAAGCAGCAGCGCTTACCTGCCTCTCAGGGAAGTTTCTACTTCCCCAGGGGAGCAAAGCCCACACCAGAGGGCTGTGTTATTTCTCAGTTACTTTTCCCTAACTCGGGTTGAGGGAGTAGCTAGTGGACGGTGGGTATCTCTGGCCCTTGGCTAAATTTCACAGGGCCTACAGTTAAAAAAAGGCAGTGCAGTGGTTAAGCACTCAGCTGCTAACCGTAAGATCAGTGGTTCAACCCTATCAGCCACTCTGCAGGAGAAAGATGTGGCAGCTTGCTTCCATAACGCCTTGGAAACCCTATGGGGTCATTCTTCTTGGTCCTGTAAGGTCACTGTGAGTCGAAATCAACTCAACGGCACGCAACAACAGTTAAGAAACTGGCTTTTTAGTAGAAATTTTCTAAAAAGCCCACGAGGTTTGGAAGGTAATACAGTTAACGAACAATGGGCTGTCTCTACAGATGTTGTGAGCACGCTGTTCCATATTTGGAATGGGTATGTCTCGTTTTCTGCATGGGTCCCTATCTGATGGCCTTGTCTCATGCACAGCATTGTCATACGCTTCTTGAATCTGTGCCTGTGTTTGTCTTTTGTGGGCATTTACTGTGTCTGTCGGTCCTTTACTACTTGCTGTCTTTTTGTGTCATTCTTTTTGTCTGTTTCCTCCTTTCATCTGCAAGACCTTTTCTCGACTAGCTACAAAATGGAACTGAGTATATTCCTGGTAATTTATTATATTTACTGACTGGACACCTATGGAAACCCTGGTGGCATAGTGGTTAAGAGCTACAGCTGCTTACCAAAAGTTCAGCGGTTCGAATCCACTAGGTGCTCCCTGGAAACTCTATGGGTCAGTTCTACTCTGTCCTATAGGGTCGCTGTGAGTAGGGATCAACTCGACAGCAATGGGTTTGTTTTTTGTTTGGTTTCAGACTCCTATGCTCCTTTCTTAATTTAAAATGCTGATATATATGTTTTCTATTTCTCTGTTCAAGCCTCCCCTGCTCCAAACTAAATTAAATTTCACTCGTAGTCATCACTGTGCGTTTAAGGTGGTCACTGGTGGTTACAGGTGGAATGCCGGAGAAACATCCATGCCCTTCCTCAGGCCCCCTTTTCTGACACAATCCTTACCAACCACTTTGCCAGTGGAGCAGCCGCTGTAGATGAACTGCTGCCCGGTGCTGTGGGTAGGGGAGAATCGGCAGCGGATGAGGGTGTGCAGCACCCCGTGGCCCCGGTAGGTCATCAAGGAACTGTCCCCTGGGAGCTTCAGCTTCCGCCAGGCTGGATGAAGATGCAGGGAGAGCCCTAGGTTAGGGGGTCTGCTTCTGAATTGCCCCGTGTAACCAGTCCTTGGCAAAGACCGATGCTCAGAGACAATCGCCTTTCCAACTCTCCACTGGCGGATCTTTCCACTCCTAATAGTCAACTGGGGCACTAGTGGTTCAGTGGTAGAATTCTTGCCTTCCACGTGGGAGACCCAGGTTCGATTCCTGGCCAGTGCACCTCATGCATAGCCACCAACCCTGTCAGTGGAGGCTTGCGTGGTGCTATGATACTGAACAGGTTTCAGCAGAATTTTCAGACTCAGACTAGGAAGGAGGGCCTGGGGATCTACTTCTGAAAATCAGCCAAAGAAAACCCTATGGATCACAACAGTCATGGAGTAGCATAGGACCTGGCAGTGTCTAGTTCCGTTGTGCACAGGGTCACTGTGAGACGAAAGCTAACTCGACGGCAGCCAATAGCAGCAACATCAACAACAATCCACTACTACAGTCCTGCTGTTTGAAGATACTGAAATATTTCTGTATCGGCTGGTTTGGAGTGATCTCCTGCCCACGACACTGGGAACCCCTGGCCTTCGCCATGGTCCAGCAAATAAAAGGTTAATTCTTGGCCAAGCAGGATGGGTTGGGGGTGCTCCAGGACTCAGCTCCAAACTACTGCCACATTTGCTGTGCCTATATCAAGCCTTACCAGTGGTTAAGTGTTTGAACTGCCACCCTGACTCTTAAACTCTTCAGATCGCAAATTTTCCCTTCCACTCTCACCTTTTTTGGGAACCTGCTGCCAGCGGTAGTCCCAGTTTTGCTGTGTGGCAGCTTGGCGTGAGGCTTCCATGCCTTCCCGGCTGGAAAAGCGCCGGATGTCCCAGAGCTTGATAGTCTGGTCTTTAGAGTTGGAGATGAGATATCGGGCATCGCCCTGGAAATCCAAAGATGGACAATAAAGCATCAGAGCTTGCAAATGTCGATGCCTGTCAGTTGGCTCCCCTTCTCTAGTTATGGAGTAAGAAAGCCAGTCCTTTGCTTTCTTCTTCCAAGTGAGCTCACCGGTTTTCTGCCTCAGGTACCTCCCCTTGGTGAGGTTTTCCTTTCTTTGCCCAGGCCACTGGCTGGTCCTCCTATTCTAATCTGCATTTGGTTCTCTTCTACTCATCTACAGCCCTGCCCTGTTCCTTGAGAACTGGTGGGTACAGACAGCTCTCATGTTTCCTGGCTTAAGCCCCTTCTCTAAACTCTAGCTCTTGTAAACCCTGGCTAATAAAGAGCTTGGCAAGTTCCCACACTGGTCCACTTTCACGCCCTCCTAGACAACTGGAAACTTAAAAAGTAGGCTGGCTGTGCAGTTCTGCCTCCCCCACCCACCTTGCTGTCAATGAAGGTGATGCCATCCTGGTGTCCAGCTAGTGCACCCACGGGCTTGGGGTCATCCTCCCGCATGGTGCGTCGATCCCACACTTTGCAGATAGCATCGTCTCCCCCGGAGAATAGGATTTGGGAGCTTACGTCAGCAAAGGCTACTGCATTCACATCATCCTCATGGGACTCAAGCTAGGGGGGAGAAGGGCAGGATACCTAGGACCTCTTTCTAGGTCTTATAACAGGTCATGAAACGGGAAGCAGAGGCTCTGAGTCTTGGGAGCAATACCTGAAGGGTGCGCCGGTTCTGTTCTCGGTCAAAGACATACAGGCAGCCATCATTGGCCCTGAAAGGGAAAGGATAAAGAGGGCCCTGGAGCCAGGACTGAGAGGAATGATGCCATGAACACTCTGGAGAGTCCCTGTTGAGAAGTCCTGTTGAGAGGCAAGCTCTTGTCTCTCTTTGTACAAAAAGCAGGAGGAGTTAGCTATGTTTGCACAGAGGCTTGAGAACTCCCATTTTGTGCTGGGGAAATGGTGAGCAAGAGATGAAGTTACTCGTAAACGCTGACCTTGGAGAAGAACTAAGTGTCCTCCACAGCTGATGGGATAGAGGTGTCCAGTGCAATCTCTGTAACAGCAAAGCTGATCCTGGGAGAACTCCTGTCTCATTAATTAAGGGAGACATGCTCTGCAAATACTCACCCTCCTAGCACTTCTCGTCCATCTGAGGAGACAGCAATGGAGAAAACAGCAAAGCGACGCTCATCTGGCCTGAAAAGAGCAAAGAATGAGCTGGGTAAGTGGGCTTTCCTTCAGCCTTTGTTACTCTACATGGGGTCTGACGAGGGTTGTAAGGCACATTTTGAAGGGGAAAAAGAAGTCCTGCCAACACGTGCCAGAATGTAGACTTCAGTGAGAACCCAGAAATTATCCTGCAACCATCTATTTTACCCTGCTTCTCTGGCTGGCAGGATAGATGGTTCTCTTCTAGGAATTCACTGTAAAACTTGAAACCAGTGTACTTTTTTCCCCTCTAAGCAGGAGCTCCAGTTCAAGAGGTTTGCTATTGGAGAGCCTTTCTTGAGGAGTTTCTGATTAGTCTGACCAGGAAGGGAAGCCAGTACCTTAGATCCAGAGCAGTGTGTGTGTCTCCCTCCCCGTAGATGTTGCAGATATGAACTAAAAGAAGAGAAACAAGAATCATTCAGAGCAGGGAGAAAGAGAATTGAAGTGACAGTAGGGAAGAGAAGGAACAAAGCAAGAATGTCAAGAGCACTCCGGGAGTGATCTTTTCAGGATGAGGTGCAGAGTCTTGGTTCACAAGAGAAGGGAGTATGGAGACATCAGGTCTCAGGTTGGACAGACAATGGAAGTCTGGTGCATACTCACTGTAATCAGACCAGCTGGAGTAAAGAAAGTGGTTCCCATCAGGGGTGAAGGCCACATCCAGGACGCTCCAGCCTACATCCCGGGCCTTGATGCTCCTGAATTTATGGAAGCGGCCATACCGGCAGTCATACAGTCGGATTGTCTGGTCTGTGTAAGTGGGCAACAGGCAGAATTAGGGAACATCCTCCTTGAGTGCTTTCTCAATCAGACCTCTCTCACTCAGGGTATCTATGGGATCTTTCTTTTGTCATGGGAAACATGCTCTGGCTAAGCATCCTAAAGCCAGGGTCTGAGCGCCCTTGGTCTGGGGCTGTCTAGCTCAGTCAGGGAGAATGTTCCCTGTCCCAGGAAAGCGCAGTTTAAGGGACCACGGTCTGGTACCTTGGCAAGCAGACATGAAGATCTGACCATCTTTGCTGTAGATGCCACAGAAAGCCTTCTGAGAGTAGGTGTCAGTGAAGGCCAGATCATTGGGCAAGAAGCTGAGGAAGCAGAGGGAATGTGAGGGTAAGGGGAGATCAGGGTGAACTAGGATTCCCAGTTAGCAGAGTGCTAACAGACCTGGGGTGTCAGTACAAGGCACCCTTTTGACTTTGGGTACAAACCCTTTTCTTTTATCCATTCCACCATCCTCTAAGTTGCCATACTTTTCCCCTTTGTTTACTCTCAAGGCTACAACCCCATTTAATCTAACTTTATTATCTTTGAGGATCCTTTCACACCTGCCCCTTCAACGTTTAGGTGATAAAACCTATCTGGCCCTTGTCTCTCCACCAAGCCCCATACTCACTGAGACATCACTCGAGACTGTTCTCCAAGGGAGAAGCTTCCCCGGTGGCAGAGGCCCCGTTCTCTCTAAATGGAAGGGATTGGGGAATATTGCTAGCAGAGACAGAGGGCCCTTCAGCCACACCAAGCCCCCTTCTCCAAAGATACTGCTCTTGCTACAGAAATGGATACCACACACAGGAAGTCTGCCCCACAGAACTCCGATGGAGCTGGCGAAGAATTCTCTGGCCCAAGCATTTGAGGCTTCCTTGGGAAGTTTACTTCCCTCCTCTTTGTGGCTGGCAGAGCTTCTGGCTATCTCAACAGGCCTGCTGCAGGCTGGCTGGAGGTGGAAAGGCCTACCTGGTGTAGCATTCGAGGAAAGCTGTGCTCCTGGGCTGCCTGCCTAAGCCCCAGCCGCCCTGTGGCCAATTCCACTTGTGTCTTGATCTCATTGCATTCCAGCTCACGGGTGTCAGGGGTTGCGTCCACTGTGAGTAGCAAGGAGAAATTTTATCCTATGTCTTCAAGCCCGAAAGAACACTTAGCATAACTGTACCCAAAATGTAAGAAGATGGGCCCCACTCAAAGTGGCTGAATATACTGGGGCTGCAAGCACTCCCTCATTTTCTAAATTATCTTTTTCCATTTTCTTCTTTCAACTTAACCTATGGTTCTTCACCAAAAAAAAAAAAGTTTTCTAATTAGTCTTCAAAGTTTAGGGTCTTGGTCTGCTTCTCTTCTTACCAGGTGGGTTGTATCGGTCCCCCAGACGACCATCCCAGGCACTGTCATGCTCTTCCTCTGAGTCAGAGAGGGCCTGGATGAGTTGTAAATTTCCTGCACCTCCGCCCTGCACCAAGCGCACTTGGCCTCTGTTGAGAGAACCCCCATGATAAAGGGGGGAACCCCTTCCCCCAAACCAACCAAATTCAGAGTCAGTGGCTACCCAGTTCTTAGACCACCTGGTACTCAAACCCTCTCATACTGTCCCCATTTTGAGGGTTTGAGGTTGACTAGACTTGGGCTGTTATTTTCAGTCTCCTAGAGGAAACGGGAAACCCTGGTGGCATAGCGGTTAAGTGCTATGGCTGCTAACCAAAAGGCACTCCTTGGAAACTATGGGGCAGTTCTACTCTGTCCTATAGAATCACTATGAGTCAGAATTGACTTGATGGCAATGGGTTTTTTGGTTTTATAGGACACAGGGAGCTCTAGTGGTGCAGTGGTTAATAGCTCGGCTGCTAACCAAAAGGTTTGCAGTTCAAATCCACCAGCCACTTGTTGGAAACCCTATGGGGTAGTTCTACTCTGTCCTATAGGGTTTCTATGAGTCAGAATCAACTTGATGGCAAGGAATTTGGTTTTTTGGTTTGTATAGGACACAGTAGGAAACAGATTCTCACCCTTAGAGCAGGAGGAAAGAAACACTACGTGCCCTGGAAGTTGATGGATCTAACTAAGTTGACTTCCCAGAGAGCTAAAAATTCTGAGGGCATTTCCTTCTGAGCCTCTGCCTGAGGAATCCAGCCATAGAAGTCAGCGTTCTGAAGGGATCTCCGAGTTCATCTTATCCCCAGAAGCCATAAGCAAAGAAAAAAAGCCAGTCGCACCCCTTTCCTCTCAATTCCTGTGGTCACTCCCTTCAAGTCATTCTTTCTCTAGAACAGGGTTAGCAGTAGGTCAGTTTAAACCTATTTTGTCAAGTAAACCCACATGGTCTCATATCACACGTCAATGGTTTTGCTAAAGTTCAACTCCCCCCTTCTCAACTCTTCTTCTCATTCGCCATTTCACTCCTTTCCCACCAGCCCCCCCCCCTTTTTTCTAACTTACTTAGAAAACAGATTACATTTGTGTAGTCATAGCCATAGAGGATCCCCTGAACAGCCGCCTCAAACACAAGAGTGGGTCCTCTTGGTGGCCCTCCCTAGGCAAGGTAACCACTCTTACTGGGTATAGAGCTGAGAGCCATGGGTGCCTAGCAGGGAAAGGCTGTTCTGCTCACACAGAACAGCTGCCCTGGGCTAACCCTGTTCCCTATCCTCTGTAACCTTCCTGCCTAGCGGCGGGATCAAGGAACTGTGGTGGCGCCTGGTGGGGACACATCAGAAGGTAAGTTACCTGCGGAGGAGATAGGCCAGTACCTGGGCCAGATCCACATCTTCATCCTCCTCTTCCTCTTCCTCACTCAGTCGCCGGCCAGCCCCTCTTCGGGGCAAGCCCTCAGAGGGGTCTCCGGACCCGGATCCTGCACTGCTGCTGTTCCGTGATCCCATCTTCTGCTCACAGCATCCTTAGGACCTGTGCAGGGGCTCTTCCTGTCAACTCCTTGGGTTTAGTGGAGCAAAACCTGCTCTAGAAATACCAGGATCTCCTGAGATGGGGCGATAGCTATTTCTAGGAGAGTGACCCTTCCTAGGTACTGAGATCCCTTCTCTTTAGCCTGTGACAACTCCCAAGTCTTCCGGAACACAAACCTTTCCCAATCTTGTGAAGCAAAGAACGCAGAGTGAAGCCTATAGCGCTACTCTAACTCACCAATGAAAATCCTTTTAAGAGGAAATTCCTCAGTTTTCTACCACAAACTCACCTATCAAAGTCCCTGGGGGAGCTGGAGTCTCAGGTAACCACTCTGGCTCACCAATCAAAACCCCTCGCGAAAGAAGTGCCTCACTAGCTCTCTCACCTAACCAATCAGAAGCCTTAGGCCTCAGGACCCCCCCCCCCGACGCCCCCCTTACCGACCAATCAGAACATTCTCTTGCAAAAGACGGCTGCAGCAACAGCCAATGAAGTTAGAATTCGGCCTACTACCCCCTTCTTCCTTTGCCTCACGCCCACGTGGGGTGCCGGGGGTGTGTACGCCAAAGGAGGAGGCAAGGAGGAAGCGGGACGCACCTCCTGCTGAAGCCAGCGGTTACAGCCCCGCGCTAGACCACCCACCAGCCAGGAACGGTCGCAGGACGCAGCAGCGCCAGACGTTGTTTACACCGACTGCCGCTGTATCATCGCCAACAGCTCCTCCGTCACGCGCCGCTTCGTCACGCAACTCCCGACTTCCCGGCCGGCGGAGCGCGTACGTCATGCAACGCCCCTGACGGTCCCGCCCCCCTGGCCTGCTAAGTGGACAGCGGAGCATGGTGATTGACAGGTGGGCGGGAGAAAGCGCTTAAGAGGGCTGGGGGCGGGGGGGAAACCGTTGCAGTCGAGTCGGTTCCGACTCATAGCGACCATGTAGAACGGAGTAGAACTGTCCCATAAGGTTTCCAAAGAGCGTCTGGTGGATTCGAACTGCTGACCTTTTGGTTAGCAGCCATAGCTTTTAACCACTGCGCCAGCGGGCTGAGGGGAGAAGAAAGTGCGGGACAGAGGAGGGGCGTTCACTCCTGTTGCGAGGAGGTAGTATGTGGGGAACCGGCTGCTTCTTAGATCTGGGACAATGGAACCAGCTTTCATGGCAGAGAGGCGGGGCTTACAAAAGAAACGGTTGGTGATTAGCTACCGAGAGGTATCCCAGCAAGAGACACAACTTGCTCCCGCTTCCTAAAGATCCTATGGCTTCTCACTTTTCAGACAATCCCGAAACCTCCCCTGCTTGAGCCATTCTTCTTTCGCTATCTGCAGCTTCGGTCGGCTCTGCCCTCATTACGAACTCTATTTTCTGGCGCCTTTGGGGTGTCTTCACGTCACATTTGTGGACCCCAGGCCTCCACACCCTCCCTTTCAGATTTAGCTTACGGAAGCCCCGTTCTTTCTTTTTTTTTTTTTTTTT